TATATATATATATATATATATATAAACTGTATTTGTATAGCCTATTTAATTAATATATATATAATTTTTTTTAAATTTACATTCACATTTTAAAAAAGCGACTTACAAGAGACGAACATTAGCAGTTCATCACGGAGCCAAACTATATTTGTTTATGTATGTTTTTATTTGTTTCTATTTTATTTTTAACTACAGTATTTTTATTTATTTACATTTACAGTTAAAAAAAAAAGTGACTTACATTAGACGAACATTAGCAATTTGTCAAACAACCTTCGTATCTACAGTATATGTTTTTATTTGTTTCTAAATTGTATCTGTTTTATTTGTATTTACATTTACATTTGAAAAAGTGACTTACAATAGACGAACATTAGTAGCTAATTCGTCACAGAGCCAAACTATATTTGTTTATGTATGTTTTTATTTGTTTCTATTTTATTTTTAACTACAGTATTTTTATTTATTTACATTTACAGTTAAAAAAAAAAGTGACTTACATTAGACGAACATTAGCAATTTGTCAAACAACCTTCGTATCTACAGTATATGTTTTTATTTGTTTCTAAATTGTATCTGTTTTATTTGTATTTACATTTACATTTGAAAAAGTGACTTACAATAGACGAACATTAGTAGCTAATTCGTCACAGAGCCAAACTATATTTGTTTTTTATATGTTTGTATTTGTTTTATTTTTTTATTTAGAATATTGTATGTATTTACATTTGCTTTTTTTTTTTAAAGTGACTTACAATAAACGAATTAGCCTATACTAAATTATTATATTAAAAATGATTATACAATATGTTTCTATTTTATTTTTTTTACTTAAAATTGAATTTGTATTTGCATTTTTTTTCTCAAAAAAGCGACTTGCAATAGACAAACAAGCAATTCGTCACAGAGCATACATTTATTCATGCATCTTCATTATAATAATGAGGGCTGTCACTTTACTCTTATTGGTTTAGCATCAAAGAATGCGTAATTTTTACACCTTACCATGTATTTCCATTTCAATGGCTAAAGTATCTCAGTGCCACTATTCATGTTATGTAAAGGCCTTTTCAGACCACTGCTGAGTGCTGAAGTAGCACGTAGTCGGCGATATCACGTGACACCCGTTCTTTTTCTCAGCGCTGTTCATAATGTCTCAATCATGCTCGTTTGTGATGATTAAATGATGATTTCGTGATTTTTATAGTCATTTCAGAGGGCAATTGTCATTTGCATGTAAGGCTTTCTGAGCCGCCAGTCGCCCCCTAAAGGAAGATCAGGGAACATGTATTGTCCAGCCCTCAGATGTTGAAATTAAACGCACTGAATGGGGTTTATCCGCCCACTGCAGCGCGACACGCATTCTGCACGTTCCACATGCGTCGCAGGTGCGCTCGTGGACCCTCACACAGAGCGATTATAAAGCCCACCTGAGTTACAGCCCCGGTCTGCTGCTGCTGCACGTGCCGTTCTCTATCCGAACCCGTAGCATTACATAGGCTATCACTTTGAAAAACTCAAAAGACAAAATGCCATTTCTTCAGCACGCACTGGACTCGCAGTTGGAGAGTTTGGCTTTGGGGCAAGTGGTTCCGGCTCTGTTGGACCGAGGCTTCTTTTACGTGGACCACTTTCTGGGGGACATCGCGGGCCACATGGTTCTGGGTCAGGTCAAGCGCATGCATTACTGTGGGCTTCTCAACGACGGCCAGCTGGCCAGACGAAGCAATGGAGTTTGCAGAAGCATCAGAGGAGATCAAATCACATGGGTTAACGGGACGGAGAGGGGCTCCGAGGCGGTCAACTTTTTATTAACACTCATAGACAAACTCATTTCTCTGTGTGAGGGTCAACTGGGCAAAAGTATCCGCGCAAGGTCAAAGGTAAGCTTTAGTGCAGCTCGAAGTGCTTAAAAACTAAGAACGTTTCAGTTGTTTGTATTGGAATTACTGAATAGATCATAAATGTATTTAAGTACATTTGTGGCATTTCTAAATAACTGTACGTCATCAAGGCACACTCTAAAAAAATGCTGGGTTAAATACAACCCAGTGCTGGGTAAAATAGGGACAAACCCAGCAATTGGGTTGTTTTGGCCCCGCGGGGCCAAAACAACCCAATTGCTGGGTTTGTCCCTATTTTACCCAGCACTGGGTTGTATTTAACCCAGCATTTTTTTAGAGTGCATTAATGCTGAAAACATAGGCTTCGTGTAGTTTCACACCCCCCCAACGCACTTTCAAAATTTAAAAAACTAATGATTGGGAATCATTTTCTTAATAACATTGTTAAATAATGGAAAATCTGACTAGAAAATGTAACTTAGCCTAATGTGTTTTCATGTTTATTAACATTTTATACGTGTATGAATTTAATAGCCTACTCACTGGTAAGCCTTTATACTAACTTTCCTGAAAAGTTAGCGAATGTACAAAATTGTCGTTAAACTTTGATTAGTATTCATAAACAAATAGTCTTTTACTTATGAAAATATAGGCTATGCGAACTACCAAGCATTTCTTTGCTAATGACGTTTTACTAAATTGAATAAATAATAACACACAAAAAAATGCTGGGTTGTTTCAACCCAACTTTGGGTCAAATATGGACAACGGTTGGGTTAAAAATTGAATGTAAAAATTGAACCCAACGGTTGGGTTAGTCCATATTTGACCCAAAGTTGGGTTGAAACAACCCAGCATTTTTTTTAGAGTGTAGTATTAAAATTACTTTTATTTTAACATAAGCGTAACACAAAAAAATGTCTTCACTGTCACTTTAAATCAATTTAGAGCATCCTTGCTAAATAAAATTTCTTCAAAGTTTTGAAATGATAGTGTATACACGATGAACATTACATAACAACATTCTGATTATTTATGCGTTTTGAATTTTTTCAGAGCAGTTTGATTGTTCATCTGGGTGAATACAGGTTTTCACTCCATTAAGCAATAGTTTCTGTCTTTGTTTGGCTCTTTGTTTAGAGAAGGTACTGTAGAATGCTTTGGCACACACTGTCTTTACTGTGCCTGATGATGAATGGCAGAGATAGGCTTTCAGTTTCTGCTGTTGGGAACAGTACGTGACTCCTCTCACTGCGCTGCTGTACTCCGGGTTACAGGAGGGCCTGAGTGAAGCAACAGGATGTTTTAGAGCCACTTTTACCAAAGTCAGCTGCGAACACAAGAGTTTTACTACCTTTAAAGTGTCCTTCTGAAAGAAACGGGCTATTTTCTCTTTTTCTTTGTCTCGCTTTTCCCTTATTTTATAGTCTGCTGAATGAAAGTGTTAAATTGATCATTTACACATATATTATTAACAGTCACGTTTATCCAAAGCGGCTTACAAATGAGGAATACAAGCAATTTATCATAAAGAGGAAATAATACAAGCAGTGCTGGCGAGACAAAGTTAAAAATAAGAGAAAGAGTGAAAGAATAGAAACATAAGTGCTTTTTTTTGTGTTGCTTTTTAATAAGTCAGCAGGTTAAGTTTTCACGAAAGAGATGAGTTTTGAGTTGTTTTATAAAAAATTTCAGGGATTAGATCAAACATTCTTTGCTGCCCCTTTTGTCTGTCATTTGTTCCAAAACCTAAATAAATGCATTTAACAGGACTCAATAACTTAATTGTTTTAGCGCAATTACTCTTCTTTAGTAAGCAGATAAAGATTATTAACATTTTATAACTCGGTGTTTTGAAATGGTTTCGTATTGACTGCGCATATGGGCGGCTGCGAACACAAGAGTTTTACTACCTTTAAAGTGTCCTTCTGAAAGAAACGGGCTATTTTCTCTTTTTCTTTGTCTCGCTTTTCCCTTATTTTATAGTCTGCTGAATGAAAGTGTTAAATTGATCATTTACACATATATTATTAACAGTCACGTAACTCGGTGTTTTGAAATGGTTTCGTATTGACTGCGCATATGGGCATAAATGGTTAAGTGTGCTGAATCAGAGTTTTGGATTGTGTACACTAGCAGCTGAAGTCTGTGTGGTGCTGTAGACTCACGCTCAACACGTAGCACTGTCATTAAATCCTCAGCGCATGGCTGCTGGCCAAGCTTGCTCTCTTTACCCATGCATGTACACACACACACACACACACACACTCGCGCACGCACACACTTCCTCCTGCTCTCTGAGCAGCTACATGCTTACATTGCGCTATGACGGCAAACTTGCGTATGCACTCTTATTGTGGGAACGTGATCATGATAAAGACTGGTGTGCAGAAATGTAAACATGGGCACTAGTGACTGTGTGTGTGTATATGCGAGGGTTGGGAGGGGTTAACTGCTGAGAGGAGAAATCAAATGCTTTGTTTTGAACATTATAATAGTATTTTTGTAATAGTAAATTAGAAGGTTTGCATTAATATGCATTCCAAGATGGAGCTGATGCTTTACCTCAAAGGAGTAGTTGACCCAAAAATGAAAACTTGCTCACCCTCAGGCTGTCCGAGATGTAGATGAGTTTGTTTCTTCATCTGGTTTGGAGACATTAAGCATTATATTACTTCCTCATCAACGGATTCTCTGCAGTGAATGGGTGCCGTCAGAATGAGAGTCCAAACAGCTGAAAAAAAACATCACAATAATCCACATGATCAATTCATGTCTTGTTAAGTGAAAAGCTGCGTGTTTGTAAGAAACACATCCATCTTTACGGCGTTTTACATTTAAACGGTCACTTGTGGCCAAAATACAAATCCACAATCCATACTTCCTCCAGTGAACTATTCTTTTAATATATATGGTATAAATAGATGTATGCACCAGCTTTTGATAATTTACCATTTAAGTTCATTTTTGAAATACTCTTGTAGTCAAATGTGGATAATGTACAGATGACGAAAAAACGGATTAATCCAATTTGTTTTTCTTTTAATACGAACCTTCTTTTTTTTAGGTTTAGATGTTCATAACCAAATCCCAAATCAGTTTTTCCATATATTATGTTTACAAGATATATTGTTTTGTTTACAACTGATTTATATTTAGACATAAACATCTAGACTTTAAGAAACTTCTTTTGTTCTGTGTAAAATGTTTTGGCTCTAAAACAAATCGATTAGATTAGAAATACAGTAATTGTATGATAGTACAGCAGGCAAAGATGCATATGTGAGCAGAATGTCCATATAGAAAATTTCATTTGTCATAACATTTAAAAAATGACTCTTTTAAGCACCATATGTTGTTGTATAGTCTGGTAAAACACTTTTTTGTAACTTTTGTAAACTTAAACGTAATTCTTGTTGCTTGTTCAAGGGGAGAAATGCCTTTAAAAATTTCTTGTGTCAATAATTTGTAGCAAGACTTGGACAATAAAAAAAAAAAGACAATTAATCATTAGCATGTTTACCTGGAAACAGGCTTTTCTGGGATAAGTTGTAATGTAAAATACCTATCAAGCTTAGTTTCACGTGTCTTCTTTTTCAGGCGATGGTGGCTTGTTATCCAGGAAATGGAGCAGGATATGTGAAACATGTAGATAACCCTAATGCAGACGGCCGCTGCGTCACCTGTATTTACTATCTGAATAAAAACTGGAATGCAAAGGTAGACTTTTCACTCATTCATTTCAAATGTCGTTTCCAAAATATTTATTGAACATAAATGGTTAAGTGTGCTGAATCAGAGTTTTGGATTGTGTACACTAGCAGCTGAAGTCTGTGTGGTGCTGTAGACTCACGCTCAACACGTAGCACTGTCATTAAATCCTCAGCGCATGGCTGCTGGCCAAGCTTGCTCTCTTTAGCCATGCATGTACACACACACACACACACACACACACACACTCGCGCACGCACACACTTCCTCCTGCTCTCTGAGCAGCTACATGCTTACATTGCGCTATGACGGCAAACTTGCGTATGCACTCTTATTGTGGGAACGTGATCATGATAAAGACTGGTGTGCAGAAATGTAAACATGGGCACTAGTGACTGTGTGTGTGTATATGCGAGGGTTGGGAGGATTGCGCTATGACGGCAAACTTGCGTATGCACTCTTATTGTGGGAACGTGATCATGATAAAGACTGGTCTGCAGAAATGTAAACATGGGCACTAGTGACTGTGTGTGTGTATATGCGAGAGGAGGTTAACTGCTGAGAGGAGAAATCAAATGCTTTGTTTTGAACATTATAATAGTATTTTTGTAATAGTAAATTAGAAGGTTTGCATTAATATGCATTCCAAGATGGAGCTGATGCTTTACCTCAAAGGAGTAGTTGACCCAAAAATGAAAACTTGCTCACCCTCAGGCTGTCCGAGATGTAGATGAGTTTGTTTCTTCATCTGGTTTGGAGACATTAAGCATTATATTACTTCCTCATCAACGGATTCTCTGCAGTGAATGGGTGCCGTCAGAATGAGAGTCCAAACAGCTGAAAAAAAACATCACAATAATCCACATGATCAATTCATGTCTTGTTAAGTGAAAAGCTGCGTGTTTGTAAGAAACACATCCATCTTTACGGCGTTTTACATTTAAACGGTCACTTGTGGCCAAAATACAAATCCACAATCCATACTTCCTCCAGTGAACTATTCTTTTAATATATATGGTATAAATAGATGTATGCACCAGCTTTTGATAATTTACCATTTAAGTTCATTTTTGAAATACTCTTGTAGTCAAATGTGGATAATGTACAGATGATGAAAAAACGGATTAATCCAATTTGTTTTTCTTTTAATACGAACCTTCTTTTTTTTAGGTTTAGATGTTCATAACCAAATCCCAAATCAGTTTTTCCATATATTATGTTTACAAGATATATTGTTTTGTTTACAACTGATTTATATTTAGACATAAACATCTAGACTTTAAGAAACTTCTTTTGTTCTGTGTAAAATGTTTTGGCTCTAAAACAAATCGATTAGATTAGAAATACAGTAATTGTATGATAGTACAGCAGGCAAAGATGCATATGTGAGCAGAATGTCCATATAGAAAATTTCATTTGTCATAACATTTAAAAAATGACTCTTTTAAGCACCATATGTTGTTGTATAGTCTGGTAAAACACTTTTTTGTAACTTTTGTAAACTTAAACGTAATTCTTGTTGCTTGTTCAAGGGGAGAAATGCCTTTAAAAATTTCTTGTGTCAATAATTTGTAGCAAGACTTGGACAATAAAAAAAAAAAGACAATTAATCATTAGCATGTTTACCTGGAAACAGGCTTTTCTGGGATAAGTTGTAATGTAAAATACCTATCAAGCTTAGTTTCACGTGTCTTCTTTTTCAGGCGATGGTGGCTTGTTATCCAGGAAATGGAGCAGGATATGTGAAACATGTAGATAACCCTAATGCAGACGGCCGCTGCGTCACCTGTATTTACTATCTGAATAAAAACTGGAATGCAAAGGTAGACTTTTCACTCATTCATTTCAAATGTCGTTTCCAAAATATTTATTGAACAGTGTTAATTAATCAAATGTCACTGTATGTTCTTCCTCCAGTGAACTATTCTTTTAATATATATGGTATAAATAGATGTATGCACCAGCTTTTGATAATTTACCATTTAAGTTCATTTTTGAAATACTCTTGTAGTCAAATGTGGATAATGTACAGATGACGAAAAAACGGATTAATCCAATTTGTTTTTCTTTTAATACGAACCTTCTTTTTTTTAGGTTTAGATGTTCATAACCAAATCCCAAATCAGTTTTTCCATATATTATGTTTACAAGATATATTGTTTTGTTTACAACTGATTTATATTTAGACATAAACATCTAGACTTTAAGAAACTTCTTTTGTTCTGTGTAAAATGTTTTGGCTCTAAAACAAATCGATTAGATTAGAAATACAGTAATTGTATGATAGTACAGCAGGCAAAGATGCATATGTGAGCAGAATGTCCATATAGAAAATTTCATTTGTCATAACATTTAAAAAATGACTCTTTTAAGCACCATATGTTGTTGTATAGTCTGGTAAAACACTTTTTTGTAACTTTTGTAAACTTAAACTTAATTCTTGTTGCTTGTTCAAGGGGAGAAATGCCTTTAAAAATTTCTTGTGTCAATAATTTGTAGCAAGACTTGGACAATAAAAAAAAAAGACAATTAATCATTAGCATGTTTACCTGGAAACAGGCTTTTCTGGGATAAGTTGTAATGTAAAATACCTATCAAGCTTAGTTTCACGTGTCTTCTTTTTCAGGCGATGGTGGCTTGTTATCCAGGAAATGGAGCAGGATATGTGAAACATGTAGATAACCCTAATGCAGACGGCCGCTGCGTCACCTGTATTTACTATCTGAATAAAAACTGGAATGCAAAGGTAGACTTTTCACTCATTCATTTCAAATGTCGTTTCCAAAATATTTATTGAACAGTGTTAATTAATCAAATGTCACTGTATGTTTTTAGGAGCATGGCGGATTGCTAAGGATCTTTCCTGAAGGAAAATCTTACGTAGCCGACATCGAGCCTTTGTTTGATCGACTTCTGCTTTTCTGGTCAGATCGTAGAAACCCTCATGAAGTTCAACCGTCATATGCTACAAGGTTAGTAGTATTGGCGTTCATGTTACAGACGTGCATGTCAGTATGATTTCTTGGCATCATACTAAGGTGTCTGTTTTGTGTCACAGGTATGCAATCACTGTGTGGTACTTTGATTCAGAGGAAAGAGCTGAAGCAAAAAGAAAATTCAGAGATCTGACAGGTTGGTTCGGCCAAAATCATCAGTATCAGTGTATTTTTTTTGAAGTTCGATTTTAAATATCTAATTGTTTAAACCTTTATATTTCAGCCAACTCACAGGAAGGTTCATCACCTTAACAGAAATACACTGGCCTGTCTCCTCCGAGAGGATTTCTTTTGTCTACTGTCTTATTTCTTTGCTTTTTTTTCTATTTTTACATGGCTTTTTGCACTAAAGGTACCTCTCCCCCCACTTATATATATATATATATATATATATATATATATATAAAGTAATATAAAATATGAAATATATTTACCCTCACGAAAGATAACCATGGATTTACTGCAAATTAAACCTATTAACCTATTACCTATTAACCATGGTATTTGTAGTAAACTCAATTCATTACTTCAGAGTTGTGTGCCCATCTAGAAACTTGCGTTGTATTATTGTGCCATCCCAAAGAAGCACAAAATCACTTTCACGGACTTTTTCATTAACTGTTCCCTCCTGGTGGAATGACCTGCCCAACTCAATCCCAGCAGCTGAGTCCTTAACCATCTTCAAGAAACGACTAAAAACACATCTGTTCCACCTTTATTTGACCCTCTAAAGCCCCATTCACACCAATAACCATAACTATAAAGATAACGATATTAGTGTCCACACCAGCGAACGATATCGTCTGTTTATTCTAAGCGTCTGCCGCTTTAAATTCTCGAGCTCGTTACAGCAGGATGGATTCTGATTGGCTGTCAGTGTTTTATTGTTCATCAGCTGGGAAAAAAATCGTTTTGAAAGCGATCACAACGATATCGGTCCTCTGTATCGTTATCGTTATAGTTGTGGTGTGAACTATGCTATTCTTTAATTGAGCGTGTGTGTATGTGTATGTGTACTGCGTGTACTGTGTTAGGCTAACCGAGACTTGTCATTTGCACTTATATATTGTTGCTCTTTTGTTAGTTTTGACTGCTTTTATTGTCCTCATTTGTAAGTCGCTTTGTATAAAAGCGTCTGCTAAATGACTAAATAAAAATAAACTGTAGTTCTAAATGGCAATCAATATGCCAAAACATGGTTACTACACGTTTACTACAATAAAAGCATGGTTAATTTTCGTAAGGGCAGTAAAGTGAACATGATCCTGCCACACTTGCATTTAGTTGTTAGATGTATTCAAAAAAGTGATTACGTCTATGAAAATCTTACGAGAGATCCTGGCTTTCACAAGAGGTCTCAGTTTTTAACACTGTTAAAACAACAACAACAACAACAACAATAATGCGCTTACCTTCGTGCCGCTCTGTAATTTTACACAGAACTAGAGGAAGCCTCTTGTTAAGTTAATATTGTATAACATAATACAGAACGTTGCACAGTCTAAACTAATCAAGTCTAGCAGTTTTCAAGGATTTATCAATCTGGACCGTTTAAAAGATAAAAGACAGGATCGTATAAACCGACATATTTAGTTTCGGTTTTGATTAATTAATTCAGATGTGCTCTGATTTCGGAGTTGCAGTGATAGAGCCGTCGTGTCGTCTCACTCCACAATAATTCACGTTTTGAGACTTGAGTCACTCTCCCACTTTTTAACTTGTATTTAGGCATTGTGATTAGGCCTACTTGAATATACAGTCATACTACACTCAAAATCAGATACGTTATAAAATATCACGCTAAAAACGTGTCACTCATGAATCATAACGTCTGTCTGCTGAGCCCGATAAGTGCGGCTGTCGCCCAAGCCCTTTTTTACCCGCACAATCAAATTCAAAACCGCCCAATCTGGCAACACTGGTCTCAGTTCTTCATCTTCTGAAGTACCGAAGAGCCAAGAGTTCTAAAGACGTTATTACTGACTGTAACCACTAGATGTCACTCTTGCCACACTGCATTTCACAACTGAAAAGCTCAAGCTTCTAATCTCACTCACCGAATTAAAAATACAACTCTTCCTCAAAAACAGAAATCAAGTAGGCTTATATCTAATATCTCACATAGTAGTCTTATACGAAAACCTGTGCCACTCTTGTCTTTTGTCAACCTGCCTTTCTATCCCATTCGTGCCTGTCGTTTTTCTATACATATATAAAACATGTCTGCCTCTGATCATACGCAGTTGTTAAATTGCTTGAGCAGTATGAATAGACCTCAGTAGATGTGAAACAGTTAATCTCTCAATCATATAGGTGTTGAAGGTTCTATGTACCTGTAGCTGCCCTAATGAGAGGCTCTTTGCTATGTAAACACACTCTGATTTCCAATAAGGACTGTATAGGTGAGATGGACCGCTCCTAATCATTAGGGAGGATTCAGGTTTGGGCTTTTTCACCTCTTCTTCCTCCTCCTCATCTCTCTTTCTCTATCTCTCTCCTGTGATCTATCATTCATGGGCTTCATTTAAAATTGCGTAAAATATTTAAAGTTGGTTGGATTTCTTCAGTGGGCTTCAGCAGTGACCTCCCCCTCAGTGCCTGAAGTCAGTGGAGAAAGATATGCAGCAGGGAGAAGGGAGAGAACGAGAGAAAAACAGGGCAAAGAGGAAAGGTGCAAGGGAGACAGTTACTTAGAATTGAACAAAAGCTGTGTTCGGAGTGGAATACTAGCTTACAATACTGAAAACTGTGTGGTATACACTATATACTGTCTACACTTCTCTGTATTAAACTGTGTTATTCCACTGTAAATGTTTGAAACATTAGTGCTGTGCTGTCACATGACCTCATTAAGTTGCATGTGACTGGCATCCAGTCATTATCTTTGAAATTAAACAGTCCACTTGTTTGTAAATCTGTCTTATCTAGTTCTCTGATCAAGTAATAAGTTAAAAGTTACTTTCAATTGATTCAACACACTGTAAATGGGAGGTCAATTCTAGTGCATTGCACACATTATAGCACATATGTGCATTATTCTGACAGATATGGAAAAATCGTGATAGTAATACTGTTACATGAAGTCAACGGTATTGACTTCCTTAGTGTATGTTTCTAATCTTATTGTGTAGAATTTATTGGAGCATGTTAGTACAAACAAATAAATGTCTTGTAATCTTTAATAAATAATAATAATAAAAAAAAAACAAGAGAGAGAGTGAAATTGTTCTGCCACTGAAACAACTTTACTTTGTTTTTATCTTTCCTGGCCATCTAATCAATTCCCAATGGATTCAGTCAAATTCCTTCACTCCAAACATTCTTCTTCTTGAATATCCTCTGAGCAATAAAAATGGTCTGTTTTCACAGAGCAAGACCTAACATTGTCAAAAAAGATCTAAAGTAAAACACTTTTAAAAGGAAGCATTTTTCCCCTTTTATTTAGCTTTGCCGTAGGAAGTTACAGTGAGATCAGTATAATAGAAGACACAGATTGAAATAGTCCTGCTAATTGAAAACCTGGTGAGGATACCATGAGGTGGAAAAACATGTCAGAAATACCCGTGAGATTCTGTCCAACGTAAAGGAGATTCACTGTCAAAACAAAGGCCCTGGTACAAGTGCACTGGATTGCCATTCATTGTATGTGGAAGCAAAAGCCAGCAGGGCTACATGGGAATATTTTGATATTCCCTAACCTGAAACCTGTAGGTAAGTAAAAAAGGCTACAATAACCAAAACTAAAGACCGGGAGAAAAACATAGGAGGGAAAGAACAAACATAAAGAAGCAGGAAAGTTGGAACGCAAAGTATAATCACTGATGTTCGGCATTCATTTATGATGAACAAAATGTAAAAGAAATGATGCCAGATAGTAACAAATCCAAGAAAAGTTTATTATGAATATGGCACCTGTAAGATGGTAAAAAAACTGTGTTACAGAAAGACAACCATGTATGACATGTCGCTTTAACTGATGAAAACCTACAAAAGTATAAAATAACCCTGTTGTAAAATGAAGTATGTACATTTTTGAATTGCAGCATTATTCATGGTAAATGGACAAAAAATGTGTTTCCAAAAAAATAAGCCAGGCACTCAAAGTTAGCTTCAGTTAGTTGTTTTTTGTCTTTTTTTCCTCTGAAAACAAAAAACAAAATAAAAAATGTACCATAGTTTTCTCTTTTTAATATTTTAATTTGTTTGTACTTAGAATTTATAACACTGTTAACACTGATACTAAGAGAATCCCCTTTCTCCCATATTCTTCTACTTGGCACCAAGTTCCTCATAAAAGAATCTGTATAATTGTACAAGAAATAGTTAAAAACACAGACACAGTCTTCACAGGTAATGAAGTGATTTCTCATATTGTAATTTTAAACACTATTTATCTGACAGCAGCTGAGATTAGTTTAAGATTAAATCACCAGCAATCATTTTGACACAACACAGATACATTGAGACAGCTCGCCCGGCTGTTCTGTTAGTAACATATGGGTGTATTTCCTGGTCCACAGTGTCTGTTTTTGGAGCTGCCCCCAAGCCCTGGCCCGACCGCTTCTGCTCTACGTACAAAATGCTAAAATCTAGGATCCTGTTAACCTGCAGCGGTGACGCCAAGCTCTCCTGCAACCGTTCCGACAGCGAGTCCCGTTATTGTCATTTTTAAAAACATTAACATCATGACCTGGGTTTGAGTAACAACACGTCTTCACAGAAACCACAGACACAAGTTTCCTGATGTCGGGGGAAGCCTGATTCAGGTAAAAAGACGAAGGCCCCCCCCATTCCCTTTGCTGGACAGACTGAAAAACACTATACATTGACAAAGCCGCTGGACCGAACAAAATCAAGTAAACCAAACAATCAACTTAGTAAACATGCATTTCCAAAACACCTATAAAAATAGATTTTATAGTGCGAAATATTTTTTTCATCTCTTTAGAAATCTTTAAAATTGTTTATTGTCCTGAAATACTACCGTCATCTTTTTTTTTATTATTTCCTGTGAGTTGCAGGGTCCTTGATGTCAACAGGTTTGGTGGAAACCAATGAAATACACCCAATGCACAAGAGAAGCACAAGGGACTCTGGGAATGTTTCACATCTGAGGCTTTTAAGGTTCCAGTCTGCTAAATGCTACTTCAGTTTTTTTTTTATTCCTCATCACGTTTGAGCTGGAAACTGCAATCCCAGAATTCCTCAGTGGCAAAAAAATGGCTCCTTAAACCTTTGAGCTAGTTTAGAGTCTTTTATCTCTGAGAAGAGAGAGAGGTCTGTAGACTACACAACAGCAAAGCAATAGCAGAAACAGAAAAAAGTAATACATACAAAAAGGAAGCAGCAAAAAAAGGTGACACTACATTGGAAGGCCACCACACAAAATCCACTAACCTCCACTGGTTCACTAAGACTGCAAGGGGGCTGGAAGGAGAACCAATGTTTCCCCGTCCGGGCCCGGACTAGCACAGAGAGGACAAAGGACAAAACAGCTACATTAGCTCAGTATATACTGCATATAGTAACACACACTTAAGTTGCTATGGAGACTGACAGCCAATGACACTTACACATTGTACAAGTTTACGGTTATCACGCTGCGTAATAGATGATGGACGGCTGCCAAAGGATGAAGTGACAGTTTTCTTCCGTTTTATTACTTTAGTTTTTTTTTAAACATCAAATCACAGTGTTTTAACACCATACTGTGAGAGTAAAGTTTTTTTGGCAACAGTGGATAAAAATTAGGAATGTGGATTTTCAAAACACATTTTTTTGATTGAAAATGCATGTCCTTATTACAATCTCCATTTGATATGTGATTTGCAGAGACAGTTAAGGGGTAAGGGATGAAGGGGAGCTGATTTAGGAAAGGACACCAGGCTTTAAGCTAAAGAGGGAGTGTAAACAATTAAGCCAAAAATTTATATTAAAAAAATCCCCAAAACAATTAAGAACAGCTTTGACCAAAGCCTGTTGGAGTTTAACATTCATCTTCAAGTTTATGATGCAAAATTAGTCTCAGTTGCACTGAGAGATAAAAAAGAATTCAAAAATCAAAACAAACAATAAAACTAACAAACTTTTCTGTATCCCTTTCCAAACTCAATCTGATTGAGTTAAAATACTCTCCCCGTGCTCATGGGTAAGTGATGAACATAAAACAACCCAAAACAATTAAGAACAGCTTTGACCAAAGCCTGTTGGAGTTTAACATTCATCTTCAAGTTTATGATGCAAAATTAGTCTCAGTTGCACTGAGAGATAAAAAAGAATTCAAAAATCAAAACAAACAATAAAACTAACAAATTTTTTTTGTATCCCTTTCCAAACTCAATCTGATTGAGTTAAAATACTCTCCCCGTGCTCATGGGTAAGTGATGAACATAAAACAAAAAAAAAGAAAAAAGTTTGTTGAAGGTTTGACTTTTCTGTGGAAAAGCTCTGAAGCCGCCGTTTGTCTGGAGTTCCGGAACAGTACCTACATCAGCCAGCTGAGTGAGGGATAGCACCATGGATCTGCAAACAGAAGATGGAACTGGAAAAATCTCACACTGACCTGTTCCATGTCCTGGGATTTTATAGTAACATTCTATTCACAGGTCAATACCCGGCTAAAATTGCTTTTTTAAAATGCATGATTTGCAAGTTATGTTGAGCTATAAAAAACGAAGAAAAAGCATTATTTCTAAAATATTATTCCCCCTTTAGAAAGAACCATAAAACCCTTTGAACTACATCAAACAGGGTAAAATCCTTTTGTCAGCATCAATCTCAATTACATCAAGATACCTTTAGAAACATGAACAGTCTCCTTTCTTGTCGATTTTCTTTTTCTAATACCTTTAAGACATCCTAATGAGGATGTTACATACTCTGGACAAATATCTCACCACAGAGAAAACATACGCTACAGTGCTATGAATTCCCTGTGGCTCAAAAGGAACTCTTTACAATAGAGATGAGTCTGTTTAGGGAAACCGTCATTAAGAACTTGTGTAAGGAGGCGAGAAAGAAGAAAGTCGAAGAGATAGAAAGACACAGGAAGAGAAACCATTCATTTCAGTTACACAAGCTCAATTGCTCAAAATTCAAAGTGCTAGAACATCTCACTTTTCCCCAACTTTGATACACAGTCTTTTGCCTCAGAAGAGTCTTTTTAACACAGTTGAACACAGTAATATGGTCTCAATGTTTTGCCTCAATCCTCCTTGCGCTCCAGAGTCTGTGTGTTGTGGATGCCATTGCTGTAGACGGGAAACGGAAGCGTGGAGAAAAGTCCCTCTGCTGTGGTGAAGACATTAGCAGCTGGCATCTGCGTGAGGCCGGCTCCGCTGACCGCACCCCCAAAGGGGGTGGACATGTTGAGTCGGTGCACGTGATGGTACAGCATCTCCATGGGCGTCTTGGGGTCTATGCCAAAGCCGGGCCCATCCACAAAGTTCACAGCAGTGTGGGCATTAGGCAGGAGGTTGCCCTGCATGGCCAGGCTGACATCTGCCGGGGCATATCGGATAGTTCCAGTGGTGTAGACTCGCGGGGAAGCAGTGCTTGTGGCAGCAAGCGTGCCTGTGACTCTGTGCACCAATGGAAGTACCACGTTCCCCGCTTGTAACCTCTGCAGGGCTTCCAGGTCACTGGTGTAGAGCAGGGAACCAGAGGAGGTGGGTGTACCCTGCTGCTTGTCCCGTGGTGAGGCCGAGAGAGGTGGGGAGAGCGGGTCAGTGGTGGTGGAACTGGAATGAGGAACCAAGCTGCCCGGAGTTGCACTGGACACAGAGGTAGGGGCACTGTTGCCGCTGCTACTGTTGCCATTGAAGTTGGGCTTTCTGCTGCTTCCTCCACACTCGGCACCAGGTGGAGTGAGGACAGAGTCCGGGATGGACACCTGCAGGCCGGCAGGCGGGGGAGAAGGGAAGGTGTTGTGGGGTTTTGTCATACTGTAGGGGGACTCGTTGCGGGAGATCTCTCGGTTGGGTGGGTAGTTCCAGATGCTGCTGTCGTTGTCGAAGTTTATAGTTTCTGACATCTCAGTCTTGATCTTCAGCACAGAGGAACTGGTTGGGGAGGGTGGAAGCAGGAGGGGAGGCTGGTCTCCAAGGGCGGGGTCCAGGCTGCCAGGGCTGGGGGTAGCAGCCGCCAAGGGAGACAGACAGAGACGTTGCCGACTACCATCCCATTTCTGCTTTTTTCTCCTCTTCTTTCTCTTCTGGTGTTTACTCATTGCTGGCCCGCTCAGCTCTCCTCCACTGTTGCAGTTATTTACAATATCTTCCACCTCATCCTCTTCTTCTGAGGAGGAGCAAGAGGAGGGCGAGTCCTGCAGTTCCTCCACCTCACCGTCACCATAGCGCTCCACCTTTATATGTAAACCACCCAGGCGGCACTCCTTGTGGTCAGTTTCACAGTCAGAAGGTTCCAGACTATCATCACTGTCCTGACTTTCTGGATTGCTGGAACTGTCTCCTTCCTCCTGTCGTCTCATTTCTTGCTCTGGTGGCCGGCCCGTCTGTTTCTTACTGTCTGACTCTGGATCTTCACTGTTCTCGGAAGACTGATTGCCCTTACCATCTGACTTGGAGTTTTCGTTGTCTTCTGGGAGAAAGAAAATGTTTTAGAGGACAGGTTTCCATACACGTCATAGTTTATCAGACAAAGTAAGGTTTCTCACAGAAGAAACATAGTTCACTAAACATCAGGGGTTTTATGTGTAGGGTGTTCATTTAAAGTTTGGAAGAGCTCCAGTTGGATATATAATGCTTCTTAAGTACAGGACACAATTACACTAAGGACATAAATTGCTCTTTGATGTTCTATTTTTGGCAGCAGCATTAGCCACTGGTGACTTATTTGTGACGTTATGTGTCATTAATAATTAGTTTTGTCATGGTCGACTCAAATTCTGTTTAGAACAAGTGACTTTGGTAGCTCAAGGTGAGCTCAAACTATGTATCAGAAATCATTAATACATTAAAATTCTTTCTTTTTAAAGTGCATGAATTTAGAAGTGAGGGGGAAAACAACAGTGAGGCATACATCTCACAGGGATTTGGAAATTCTGGCCTTAGGAAAAACATGTCTGCATTGGAAGAGAAACACGGAGAGAGAGAAAGAGATAAAGAGACAGAAAGACAGAAGGAGAAGGCGGGGTGTAGAGATAGGTAGGGTGTGTGAGAGGAGAAGAGGGCATGGTTTGGTCCAGCTGCGGCTGGCACAGTCTGTAACCTTTGTGATGAAGGCTGGCAAAAGGCTCGGCAGGCAGAGATGCCCAGGGGCCAATATGTTGGCACTTTCCCCAGACTGTCAACCGGCCTTGTTCACTCACAGCCTCCACCATCTCTGGAATCTCACTTCATCTTCTTTTGGAATGTATAATTAATATCTCCAACTGGCTGTGGAGTTTTAATTGACTATTTACACCAGTTTTATGGACATATCGAAAGCACCAAATTTCCTTGTCCTACATAATCTCCAGTAATTATTGAAATGAAGATATTTTACACAGCAAGAGCCCTCAGATGAGACATTTGCATTTGGTTAAAAGAAAACTTTCAAGTGTGTTGTGTATAGTGTTACTTTACTATACTACTAGTTTGTAAAGAATCTAAGATGTAGAATCTTATGTCACCAGAAATGGTTCCATGAACAGGGATAACAATCTCGGCGCAAGAAGAACTGGCTTTAAGTGTCCTGCTCAAGGGACAGCTTGTGGCGAGGCTTTGTGGGGTTCAAACCAACGACCTTCCACTTATTCTGTAATGTTCTGTGGCATACTGCAATGAAATGGGACGAGGAGTGATACAATACCAGAGTTCTCCTTGGAGTCGGATTCAGAATCAGATGTTTCTGAGGACTCTGATGCTTTCTCTGGCAGGTTAGGCAGTTGTGCGATATCCATGGGTGTGTCTTTGTACTCTGGATTACTGCCCATTAGAAAAGAAACCACAAAAAAGACACGTTTAGAAGAAACAAGTAATTCACTTTGCCAGCTGAGAATCATTCACAGCCATGTGAAACATTCTTCATTCTCTTCTCTAGAACGTTCCAGACATCCTGATTGATTCACTGCGGCCCAAACCACAGAGCATTCTAATGATCTCTAAGCCCGTACACAGACCCAAAAGCAGTAAGAAATCACACTGCAGTTTGAGAAGATCAGTGTGTTTGGCCTTCGTCATCTTACAGAAGAACAGACTATTACTAACTCTCTCAAGTAAGAAAACACTTTCATCTTGTTACAGTGCCGGACGGGACAAATCAAAATCTAAAGATATGGCATTTTCATCAAAGTAGAAGACTCGTATACCTGAGTACATAGTTGACCCAGATTATGTTTTTCTCGTTGCCGTTCTTGGCGTTGATTGCAATAGTGGCACTGGACTGGATCCAGATATAACCTCCATTTTTCTGAATCCAGCGGTAATACTTTGTCACACACTGACCTTTATTCATCACTATGGAATAGAAAGAGGATAGTATACCAGAAAGGAAAGGAGGTGGAAGAGAAAAAAAGAAGAGGGAAAAGGAGATATAGTGAACAATGTGATATATTAACATTTTACATACACTCAGGTTTAATTACAACAACAGCAAATAATATTAATCTTGATATTTGCCTTCCATGTGACCAGGTAAAGCACAAACCTATCCATTATTTCATTGGAAAGATCCTTTATTACCATCTTGAACATTATTAATCTTAAAGGCCCAGCAGAGGGCGCTGTGACTGTTTGCTAAAGGCTCTGTAATTGTGTCCTTGTCTAAGGCTACTCATGTGAAGACGCTGTGGCAGTTGCCATAATTTTGGCTAAATGAAGTGCTAAATGGCGATCTCAAATAATATGAATTTGCATTAATCAATGTTCTGCAAAACAGAAACAGTCAGAACCCAAGCACGGTAGTAAATTCAGATTCTGGGTTTAATTACAGCTACAAATGGCCCTTTCCATAAAAAGAGTCCATTGAGAAGGATGATTTATATAAGAATAAGTCTAGTAATTAAAATCATTACAGACTAATAGCATTGTTTAAGAAGCTGTCCCAAAGGCTCCGATAATTGACTTTAGTTCACCGACTGCTTTCTGTACCAATAAATGTAAAACTAAGCTCTAACTCCAGTAAATTGAGACAAAAAGCCAAGAGTTGTTTATCTGACTTGTTCGCTGTGGCCAGTGGGCATACCCTTGACTCACCTTCACTCTCTTCAACAAAGTTTACATGCTACTGAGAGTCTATGGTTCAGTATACATGGAATGTAAGCAAAAGTGCTGGACAAAAACATACTTCATATCTGAAATGTCAGAACTGAAGACAAAAGAAAGAACTGCTATGGAAAATATTCCATAAAAACAACTTAATTAACATATTTTGAAATGCTTTAAAATCTCACAGTGGCAGACAGATAAATAGATATCCTGCACCATTTTCATTGTACACCGCTAAGTTGCAAATACTTTGGCAATACAAAATGTAGAGCTGTTTGTTGTGCCAATAAAGCACATTAAATTGAAACCGAATCAAAGTATTGTACAGCTCCAGTATATTAAATCTTGTCAAACATACAGAGCGATTCTTCCCCTCCGTCTGTGAACATGCGAGTCAGAGCGGTCCCTTTAAACCCTCATTACTGTCTACAAGTTCTAGGACATTTTTCCCCCTCTGCCTTTAAACCTGATGAGCTGATCTCATCTGCATTGCATTTGATGTGCTGGCCCCCTCGGCTCCGCCCGGCACCACGTCTGTACAGGTGAGGCTTCTTTTTTAACCCCCTTTCAGTTACGCTGCCATTAAATCAATCAGGGGCTGCTTGAGTTATTGATTTAGTGGTAATGAAGCCACCCCTTTCTCTCTCTCACTCTCTCTCTCTATCTGTATCCTTCTTTTTATTTTCCGGTGCAGGACTCGTTGGCTGCTTTCGGAGGCTTTAAAAGGAATACGGCCTCTTTAATCTGCCTGCCTTCTCCTGGAGCCTCGGGCAAGCCTGCAGGACGGTCTCTCACTCTCTCTCTCCCTCTCTACTTCGGTTCTTTCTCATTCTATCTCTCTTGCTCGCTCTCTCTGCGAGGGGCTGCTTGAGTTATTGATTTAGTGGTAATGAAGCCACCCCTTTCTCTCTCTCACTCTCTCTCTCTTTCTGTATCCTTTTTATTTTCCGGTGCAGGACTCGTTGGCTGCTTTCGGAGGCTTTAAAAGGAATACGGCCTCTTTAATCTGCCTGCCTTCTCCTGGAGCCTCGGGCAAGCCTGCAGGACGGTCTCTCACTCTCTCTCTCCCTCTCTACTTCGGTTCTTTCTCATTCTATCTCTCTTGCTCGCTCTCTCTGCGCCAGGGCCTCTGTCCTTCAGTTCTGTTAAATCACTTGGATCCCTTCCATAATAGCAGCTACCTTTCAGATACCCTTTACCCAGCGTGGCCTCACTTCCAGCAGGAGGGGTGGAGGGTGTCACTGTCATATAAAAGTAAGTAATTTACACCCGTGAAATTGCTTTATGGAAAAGTCCTTGCAGTCCACTGGGGTATTATTGTACAGACAAGCCTTTTATGAATGAGAGAGCAGACATGCAGATCTGCGGCACCCGGGCAGGGTGAATTGGAGGTGTTTAACTTGTATTCTTTGGATCTAATGGCGAAACTTCACCAGCGGAGGAAGTAAACACCTTGGCCATTTGGAGAAGCGGCGAGAAGTGAAATTACACCTGTGATCATTGTTTTCAAAGCATCATCTCAGTTTCAAGGCATTTTGGAACAACTGCAAGTAAGGATGCAATCATTTGCTGGTTTTAAAGATGTTTTTGTGTTGTAAAATCCAGATAAAACCAGTTTCTAGCTGGTCAGAGCTGGCTGTTTATGGGCATGTGCTAATCCATACTGCTTGAAATAGTTGTAAAACTAGTTAGAGCTGGTTGGCAAGCAAGTAAAATGACAATCACTGCTGACATAAATGCAGCATATCCATGAATACAGACTAACAGAAACATCTATTTTATATTTACTCTGAATCCATTATGGAAGAAACCTGAAGAAACATTGTCAACGGTACATGCGATGGCTGTTAGAGCAGGTGTATTTTTCCACAGCTGTGGAGTCTATCTTCAAGCACAATAAGGAGTGAAGGGAGTTTTTCATTAAAGTCAGTTTGAACTACTCTTCAGAGACCGGCTCTTGTAGTCTGCCTTCAGGCACAGAGCTTCAGTCTCCTGGGGTTTCTCCACACTTCTGTGAGCCATCGTTTCCCACCTCTGTCTCCCTCTCGCTCTCTTTCTCAGCTGGTAAATGCACACACACACACACACACCCGTGGAGCATTTATGCGGTGAGTATTATACGTAGTCGTGTAACACAGTGTCTTTTATTAATTTAAGTTTCCCACCTCTGTCTCCCTCTCGCTCTCTTTCTCAGCTGGTAAATGCACACACACACACCCGTGGAGCATTTATGCGGTGAGTATTATACGTAGTCGTGTAACACAGTGTCTTTTATTAATTTAAGCCGTGTTGGTCCTGTTCGGAAGCTGACACAGGTGAGGTCAGAGCTGTCACAATGCATTTCTGCCCATATAAAACACCTGCTCTCAAATGCTTCATGAGCACCAACAGTCGGCTTTCTAATTTTCTTTCGATAAACCAGAGCTATTTGTTTTTCACAGTTACAAAGCTCAAATTAAACCATTAAACAAATAGATGAGAATGACAGTTCATGTTTTAGTATGTCCAAAAAGTACTTAAAGAAATAGGCCACAAGAGACTAGAGATGCAGTATAGAGATGTTACTGTAGATAAAAACCAATGCCTTATTGTTTTTATTGAAAAGGCAGCAAAAGTGATATGAATTAAATGAACATTATGATCAATAAACAATTCTTCTACCTATCAGCATTTTTCAGCCATGCACTTTAAAGTCCAGAAACTACCCATTTTATAAAAACTCTTTGGAAGCTGACACAGGTGAGGTCAGAGCTGTCACAATGCATTTCTGCCCATATAAAACACCTGCTCTCAAATGCTTCATGAGCACCAACAGTCGGCTTTCTAATTTTCTTTCGATAAACCAGAGCTATTTGTTTTTCACAGTTACAAAGCTCAAATTAAACCATTAAACAAATAGATGAGAATGACAGTTCATGTTTTAGTATGTTCAAAAAGTACTTAAAGAAATAGGCCACAAGAGACCGTGCAGTATAGAGATGTTACTGTAGATAAAAACCAATGCCTTATTGTTTTTATTGAAAAGGCAGCAAAAGTGATATGAATTAAATGAACATTATGATCAATAAACAATTCTTCTACCTATCAGCATTTTTTAGCCATGCACTTTAAAGTCCAGAAACTACCCATTTTATAAAAACTCTTTAAGCAACTTTTATAAAAACAGGTGGTTAAAACCATATGAGATGCCTTTAAGTCGGACAAATACTATTAACGGCGCATTTTGAGACATTATTAGACTCTAACCTCTGTGCAGTCCTTCTCTACACGGATCAGAGAACATGGCCAGTATAAAAAAACAGCCAACCGATCTCTATCCACCTTCATTTTAAAGCAGGCTTTTGCTGTGATGATAACTCCGCTATAGACTTGGCCCAATTCCATTCTCTCATAAATATGTTAAGTGCAGGGGAGTGGTAAAAATTTTAGCAGACATTGGGATGACTTCAATCCCAGAGATATAAATAAAACTAATAAAACTAATATGATATTTCCTTTCAAGCCAGGCCAAATTAAGATGTTCTCATTTTATGGGGCAGCAGTGGAACCACAGATGTTTTGTAAGTACAAAAGAGGGTTTTTTCTTGGCCGGCTTTTCAAACGAGTGATAGATGTTGAAACAAGGTCATTCTGGGATTGGGTTTAAGCAGAACTCATCACTATCAGCTCCATAATGAACTGCACATGAACATTAGTGTGTGGCTGATTATCCACTCTTGCAAAACACAATGTCACCCTCTGATCCTTCGGTTCTACAATAATGTCATATTTTAACTCGAAGCTGCCGAAATTGAAATTCTTTTTCACCGTTTATCATTCTTTTGGGCAGATAAAAATGTCTTAAATCAAACTGCACACAATACTAGGCTTATACTAAAGATTGTGCAAATACAGTGTGAAACTGTTGCCCTCTTAGAGATTAACATTACCCATATTTATATAATCATATATAATATAAAGAGTGTTACCTGTTTTCACAGTAGATGATGTTGAGATCCATGTTGACCCGTGTAACAAACATCTGGCAGTCGATCCGAACCTCATTGATGGTTGGTGGAGGAAGTGCGTGTGCCATCACAACCATGCCCATGATTTGATTGGGTACCGAACGACTGTGTGTTAATGCCATTCTTATCCGCAGCCTGCCGGTAATGTGTATAACCTTGAAGAGGACACAAAGCAGAAAATTAAAAACAGATCAGATGCAATTGTCTTCTGAATTACATTCACATCCTTTAGTAAAGTATCCAACCACAGTATAAATATAACAGAAAATAAACCAGATGAAGTCATGTAAGATGACAACTGAGCTCTTTGATAATCCAATATGTACTTTGCATACTAGTGTACACTTGACCAAGATCCAAACCAAGATTCTCAGATTCTTGTACCTGTTATGTACATGTTCATGAAATATTAAAAACACAAAAAGCACCATTTCCCTCTGAAATAATCGAGAAATAACAAAGGCAGAGGAACTAATTACTTTTTCGCTGGCTTTAAAGTTTGTAATGCTTTAAAGTCTTTTGTAGCCCATTTTGCCCAGAGGATGCATTGACTAGATCGGCAACGATGTTCTTTTTTGGATCCATCCATTTTAATCACCCAGGGAAACCTGGAGGGGATTGTTTTTGTAGTGTTTTAAACTTCTGACACTATCCTTTCATTGGTTCACCTCAGAGATCGGTGAGATGCTATTAGCATCATTCATATAGACAGTCTCGGCCCTGAAGTCACCGAGTGCTCAGGCCGGTGGGGCTCTTTGATGCTTGTACGTTTCCGCTGAGGGACAAGCAAATCCAAACCCCAGGAACGATGGACTGCCACAGTCACTAAAAAAGAGTGACTCTCCTGGTGTAGAGTTGAGAGTTTGATCGAACTTTCACAGAATTCAAAAGCCATCTCAAATCAGGGGCCAATTAAAGATGACTGGAAAGTTCAATGATGTCACATTTAGTCAGGTAATCCTCATTTTTTAAGCAGAGTTTACTTTGGGTTTAAATTTTATGTTTTAACAAAAACATTTTGCCAGAATAACAAAAAGGATTTTTTTTCTGGAATGAGCATGCGTGATATTTTCTTTCTCTAAACTAACTAATTAGTAGTTGAGTAGCTGACAAACGATATTACTTTTTTTTTAGATTTTAGGTTAAAATTTATATAAATATATACGTGAAAGTGTCTATTTTAGATCACCATTTTTACTACTATTTGTGACCCTGGACCATGAATCCAGTCTTGAGTCGCACGAGTATATTTGTAGCAATAGCCAATAATACATTGTATGGGTCAAAATAATTTTTCTTTTATGCCAAAAATCATTAGGTTATTAAATAAAGATACTTTGTAAATTTCCTACCATAAATATATCAGAACTTGACCCTTATGACTGGTTTCACGAGTTCACACTTACATATAATTAAATAAAGGTTATGCATATTTGGCGTGCTGTCCAGGGAGAGAGCTCTGAGCTCAGCAAGACTCCCGGAGTTCAGCCCGGCTCAAAAGCGCTCTCCCAGTGCTTCTCCCCATGCTGGGGTAGAAACTGGTTGAAGGTGCGGGGTCGGGGTGGCGGAGGGATGCTGAAAGTCGAGAGATAACAAAGGTCGGACGTACTTGGTTATTTATAGGAGTTTTCTCTTATGCTGATTGGATAAATTGTGTAATCACTAATGATGAACTGGCCATGTTAATTATCTGTGCGTCCTCCTCCCGAAATTTGTTTATAAAATATCACTTTGTGGTCCAGGGTCACCTTTTACTCCTAGCTGTTGCATAAGCTACTTAAATAGTCTTTAATGAATTTTTCAAAGCACAAACATTTCATGTAATCTCTCCACCCCCGCCCGTCACAGCATCGGGGAATACAGAATAGGTATACATAAGAAATAAGATTCATCTGTTCCTAGGGATTCTCTGGAGTGCTTTTGAAATGCGATACGGCACAAGTAATGATAGAGAGCTTTTACATGAGTGCATTAACTGAGCCGGGGGCCGAGACGCCTTGGCAAAAAAAGAAAAGACTGGTTTAAGCTGGAGAAGAATTCACTTTGATTTGACCTCCAGACTGAAGAGGAGATATAAACAGCCATCATGTGTGCTGTGCTTCGCTTCCCGCCGCCACGCACCTATCACCTAATGCCGGCGCATCGTATGCAAAATTCATACTTTTGTATTATGTAACAACACAAATATTGACTTAATTTGCAGGTGTCAGGTCCATGTAATCGCTGATTCTAGAAAAGGATTATTTCAGCATAAAATCAAAATTGACACCATTTCCCCCACTATTTTTAAACAATTTTTGTAGTTCAGTTGAATGTTCACTTAAATAGAGACATCTGTCCATTGAAAATCTTATGGAAAAAGGGTTGCAATTGGCATTTCATTATGACTTTGATGTTATAATGTAATATCATTAACAACAGCTGAGAAAATTACTTCAATTGTATTTGAAAATGTCATGTATTAGCTATTTGTCAGAACCAATCAGGTTCCTCCACTGTTAGGGTTAGGGTTACTAAAATAAATGGGTGTAGGATTTACTTTGAAACTATTTTCATTTAGAAATTGCTGGTAAATTTGACAAATAATTACAAAAATAACAGCAAGTAATACATTGAAGCACACGTAAAACATACTCGTTAAAAATAAACTTTTTTATAGTGTAATGGCCATATCAATAAGGAAAGCTGAGCAGCCCACCAAAAAGAATCAGATCTTACTGTGGGTTATTATCTCTTCCCAGTCAATGACCGATTAAAATAGGGCAAAGACCTGATTGGTTTCTAGTCAACGTCACTGATAAAGAGATTCTGATTTCCCAGCCCTTCTGTAAGCTAAATATATATTGTATCAGATTTTATTCATTAAAAAGGTTTCCATCTGTGATGGCAAGCTGTCAGCCTGTTTTCATTATAGACGCAATATTTTCTGACCTACTGTAGCTCTACCAACTGCTTGCTGAATCTAAAAGCAATTCTCACAGAAGTATTGAAAATTTGATAAAAACAGGTGGTTAAAACTATACAAAATGCCTTTAAGTTGGGCAAATACTATTAGTGGCGCATTTCCAGACATTATTCGACTCTAACCGATCTCTATCCACCTTCATTTTAAAGCTGGCTTTTGCTGTGATGATAACTCCGCTATAGACTTGGCCCGATTCCATTCTCTCATAAATATGTTAAGTGCAGGGGAGTGGTAAAAATTTTAGCAGACACTGGGATGACTTCAATCCCAGAGATATAAATAAAACTAATATGATATTTCCTTTCAAGCCAGGCCAAATTAAGATGTTCTCATTTTATGGGGCAGCAGTGGAACCACAGATGTTTTGTAAGTACAAAAGAGAGTTTTTTTCTTGGCCAAGAAACAAGGTCATTCTGGGATTGCGTTTAAGCAGAACTCATCACTATCAGCTCTATAATGAACTGCACATGAACATTAGTGTGTGGCTGATTATCCGCTCTTGCAAAACACATTTTCACCCCCTGATCCTTCAGTTCTACAATAATGTCGTAGTTTAACTCTAAGCAGCTGAAATTGAAATTATTTTTCACCGTTTATCATTCTTTAGGGCAGATACAAAATCTCTCAAATCAAACTGCACACAATACTAGGCTTATACTAAATAGTGCATATAAGTTCTGCAAAATAAGATTGTGCAAACACGTAGTGAAATTGTTGCCCTCTTAGAGATTAACATTCATAAATCATTGACTATCTTTATTTATGTTTAAAGTCAACATGACATTACATCACAAAGGCCGGTTAAAACTGTACCGAATATATTATATAAAGAGTGTTACCTGTTTTCACAGTAGATGATGTTGAGATCCATGTTGACCCGTGTAACAAACATCTGGCAGTCAATCCGAACCTCATTGATGGTTGGCGGAGGAAGTGCGTGTGCCACCACAACCATGCCCATGATTTGATTGGGTACCGAACGACTGTGTGTTAATGCCATTCTTATCCGCAGCCTGCCGGTAATGTGGATAACCTTGAAGAGGACACAAAGCGGAAAATTAAAAACTGATCAGATGCAATTGTGTCCTGAATTACATGCACACCCTTTATTAAAGTATCCAACCACAGTTTCAGGATAACAGAAAATAAACCAGATGAAGTCATATAAGATTGTCAAGTGAACTCTTTGATAATCCAATATGACCTTTGTGCTCTACTGTACACTTGACCAAGATTCTCAGGTTCTTGTACCCGTCATGTACATGTTCATGAAATATAAAAAAACACAAAAAGTGCCATTTCCCTCTGAAATAATCGAGAGATAACAAAGGCAGAGGAACTAATTACTTTTTCGCTGGCTTTAAAGTTTGTAATGCTTTAAAGTCTTTTGTAGCCCATTTTGCCCAGAGGATGCATTGACTAGATCGGCAACGATGTTCTTTTTTGGATCCATCCATTTTAATCACCCAGGGAAACCTGGAGGGGATTGTTTTTGTAGTGTTTTAAACTTCTGACACTATCCTTTCATTGGTTCACCTCAGAGATCGGTGAGATGCTATTAGCATCATTCATATAGACAGTCTCGGCCCTGAAGTCACCGAGTGCTCAGGCCGGTGGGGCTCTTTGATGCTTGTACGTTTCCGCTGAGGGACAAGCAAATCCAAACCCCAGGAACGATGGACTGCCACAGTCACTAAAAAAGAGTGACTCTCCTGGTGTAGAGTTGAGAGTTTGATCGAACTTTCACAGAATTCAAAAGCCATCTCAAATCAGGGGCCAATTAAAGATGACTGGAAAGTTCAATGATGTCACATTTAGTCAGGTAATCCTCATTTTTTAAGCAGAGTTTACTTTGGGTTTAAATTTTATGTTTTAACAAAAACATTTTGCCAGAATAACAAAAAGGATTTTTTTTCTGGAATGAGCATGCGTGATATTTTCTTTCTCTAAACTAACTAATTAGTAGTTGAGTAGCTGACAAACGATATTACTTTTTTTTTAGATTTTAGGTTAAAATTTATATAAATATATACGTGAAAGTGTCTATTTTAGATCACCATTTTTACTACTATTTGTGACCCTGGACCATGAATCCAGTCTTGAGTCGCACGAGTATATTTGTAGCAATAGCCAATAATACATTGTATGGGTCAAAATAATTTTTCTTTTATGCCAAAAATCATTAGGTTATTAAATAAAGATACTTTGTAAATTTCCTACCATAAATATATCAGAACTTGACCCTTATGACTGGTTTCACGAGTTCACACTTACATATAATTAAATAAAGGTTATGCATATTTGGCGTGCTGTCCAGGGAGAGAGCTCTGAGCTCAGCAAGACTCCCGGAGTTCAGCCCGGCTCAAAAGCGCTCTCCCAGTGCTTCTCCCCATGCTGGGGTAGAAACTGGTTGAAGGTGCGGGGTCGGGGTGGCGGAGGGATGCTGAAAGTCGAGAGATAACAAAGGTCGGACGTACTTGGTTATTTATAGGAGTTTTCTCTTATGCTGATTGGATAAATTGTGTAATCACTAATGATGAACTGGCCATGTTAATTATCTGTGCGTCCTCCTCCCGAAATTTGTTTATAAAATATCACTTTGTGGTCCAGGGTCACCTTTTACTCCTAGCTGTTGCATAAGCTACTTAAATAGTCTTTAATGAATTTTTCAAAGCACAAACATTTCATGTAATCTCTCAATTAAAATCAGGCCATTAAACACCTTTCTGAATAGGTATTCTTGGAGAAATGAGACAGAGGTGGCAAAATGTGTTTCTGGTCTTCGATCAGTGTGTGATATCGTGACACGAGTGTGCATCAGACAGACACACCGGCAGTCACAAACGCACTTGATGCAGCTGTTGCCAAGCTTCAGTAAGACATCACAGCACGCCGCGATCAGAAGGTGATGTTCAATTATGGCCGATATCAAACCCATACACGCATTCTCACAAACAAAGCGGCACACCAGAGAGTGGCAGCCCGCACAAAACACACACCGCCTCCACAACACACATCCATCTCTACATACGTACAACACTGGGTCTTTTTCAATAAATAAACACTGAGCTGCATTAAAAGCATACAAAATGGAAATGATTCCACTGAAGCCCAAAGCGAGGGGCATCAAAAAGTTGGAAAATACAACTTTTGAAGTAATTGCCACAAAGAGAGACTCGCCGGTGAATTGCTGCAGGAGTGCTCTTGGCAAGAACATCATAAGCTCTGGCAAAACATTAAATATGCTCAGGCTGCTAAATGCAAACTGACATGGCAAGGGTTCACCGTGGCCGCAGCGAGAGGCAGCCGCATAGCATATCTCAATTTAATACAAGCCAACATAACAAAGGGATCAATTTTTATAATTCATGGTTCAGCACACAATGCTCTCTCTCTCTCTCTCTCTCTCTCCGCCCGTCACCACGTCGGTGAATATAGAATAGGTATACATAAGAAATAAGATTCATCTGTTCCTAGGGATTCTCTGGAGTGCTTTTGAAATGCGATATGGCACAAGTAATGATAGAGAGCTTTTACATGAGTGCATTAACTGAGCCGGGGCCGAGATGCCTTGGCAAAAAAAGAAAAGACTGGTTTAAGCTGGAGAAGAATTCACTTTGATTTGACCTCCAGAGTGAAGAGGAGATATAAACAGCCATGATGTGAGCTGTGCTTCGTTTCCCTCCACCTCGCACCTATCACCAAATGCCAGCGCAACGTATGCAAAATTCATACTTTTGTATTATGTAACAACACAAATATTGACTTAATTTGGAGTAAATGCAATAAGAAGTGTCCTTGTCTGGCCAGTAATGTATGCGAATGTGCATGCGTGAATATTTATGCTATGGGTTAGTGCGCTCCCCGACTTCACGCTTATTTGCATCAAATCTGCGTCCAGATGGATGCAGCAGGGGGTTTGGATCGTTCACTCAAAGACACATCCAAACAATCATCCACTTCTCTGTTTACAAACTGATTGATACTAAATGTACAGCATTCGGTGATCTGCTGTATCAGTGGTATTGTCTATGATTGCACAAAGTGCAAAAAGTGCATAGTACATAAATATAAATTTACGTACTTTATGCCAGAATACATTACTGTTCAAAGTTTGGGGTTTGTAATGTTTTTGGAATATCAAGTCACTAATGCTCACCAAAGCAGCATTTAATACAGTAACATTTTTCAAAATCAAAGTAATTTTGTGAAATGTTATTACAATTTAAAATTACATAATAATAAAAAAAATAAATAATAATAATTTTATTTGAATATGTTTCAAAATGTAATTTATTCCTGTGATGCAAAGCTGAATTTTCAGCATCATTACTCCAGTCGTCAGTGTCACATGATCTCTCAGAAATCATTCTAACTAGGGATGGGCGATATCTTATCGTTTGCGATATACTGGTAAAAATTCTCCTCACGATAAGAATTAGTCTTCCCGCGATAATAACGATAAAGTCTAGTTGTTGACATATTTCTGTGTGTGGACGTGAAATTGAGGAGGAGTAGCCTGTATCGCTAAATGAGGAGCTCGAGCTCCTTTTACAATCTGTAACTGGTTTGGTTAGGGCTGTACAGTGCACAAAAATCTGTCTTAATAAATGTACTACAGTAGCACGTGTGCGATACAGTTTTGCATGTGTATTAGCCTGTTTACAAACCTGTTGTCCAACAAAGATATCATTTATTGACAGAATGATTCATATTACAGAATGATAGTATTATATACAGTGATAAAGGGCATGTCGATTAACATTGCATTATAAATATACTTTCCTTATAAAAACAAGGAAGTGAAGAACACAGATAAACCATATATTTTGTGCAATCGTACGTTTATGCTCCTCAAGTTTCATCAGTTAAAATGTCTCCATCTCCATTGTGCGTTTTATTCAGTGATAACTGGATACTTTCCTATGCTGCGTTCCACTCCACTTTTAGACACGCACTCGCGAACTTCCCTAAGCACTTCCCATCGGGGGAATCCCCGCTGCCATTTTGAAGTGCGTTCCACTTCGTGAAGTGGACGAGGGAAGTTTATATGGACAGACCTTCGACCCCTCGATTTTGACAGAGGGAGCGAGTCTGCTTCATATGCACACTTCAGGCCGCTCCATAGACCACAATGCAACACGATTGTGACGTCATCGCAGATTGCATTTAATTTATCCCCACCCCAAACAATTCTATAATATATAAATTATTTTTTTAACATTTATAACAGCCCAAACATACCTATATACATATAGAATGCTGCACCCAACAAATTCATAAGGGAAAAAATGTAAACAATAAACCAACTCCATAGCTGATTCTAAGTGATCAAGGGCTTAGGACGTTCCAGTTCAGCCCATTCCAAGGGTTCCGCCAGAAGTGGGCACTCATGCAACGTAATCAATGACGTACATCTGAGTAAACGAGACGGAGGGAAGTTTGCGAGTGAAGGGCATAAAAAAACGGACTGGAACACAGCCCTGGAGCGTCGTCAGTAGGATTACTTCTGCTATGGATATGTGGAGTTTCTGTCAAGAGCGCCCTCCGGCTACCAGTATGAATTAAACAGTCTTTACATTATGCGTGTACTCATTAACACAACACCCTATTTTAGGTAAAAATTGGAAAGATATTACTGGAAAGATAATACTTTTCTCTAAAGAAACAGGATTCCCTGAATTATCGTCATTGATATCGTTATCGCAATAAATACCAGAAATACCGTGATATATTTTTAAGCCCATATCGTCCATCCCTAATTATAACATGCTGACTTGTTGCTCAGGAATAATTTCTTATCATTATCAATGTTGAAAACAGTTCTGCTTCATATTTTTGTGGAATCCGTGATGCATTATTTTCCAGGATTTTTTGATGAATAGAAAGTTCAAAAGAAAAGCATTTATTTGAAATAGAAATTTTTCTGTAAAATTATAAATGTCTTTATTGTTCAATGTAAAGGGTTAGTTCACCCAAAACTGAAAATTCTGTCATTAATTACTCACCCTCATGTCGTTCCAATCCCGTAAGATCTCCGTTCATCTTCGGAACACAAATTAAGATATTTTTGATGGAGTCCGAGAGCTCTCTGACCCTCCCATAGACAGCAATGATACTATTACGATCAACGCACAGAAACGTAGCAAGGACATCGGTAAAATAATTAATGTGACATCAGGGGTTCAACTGTAATTTTGAGAATACTTTTTGTGTGCAAAGAAAACAATAAGTAGACGGCGCGCGCATCCTGAACATAAACAACGCTCATTACGTTGATTACGTTCTGGGGTACTCTCCAAAATGGCAGAAGATGGTCACTCGGGGATAAGAATTGTTGAATAAATTATGTTATTATTGTTTTCTTTGCGTACAAAAAGTATTCTCGTAGCTTCGTAAAATTACAGTTGAACCCCTGATGTCACATGGACTATTTTACCAATGTCCTTGCTACGTTTCTGTGCCTTGATCATGGTAATATCCTTGCTGTCTATGGGAGCTCTCAGATTCCATCAAAAATATCTTCATTTGTGTTCCGAAAATGAATGAAGGTCTTACGGGTTTGGAACAACAATGGGTGAACTAACCCTTTAATGTATCATTGTTGAAAATAAAATCCAATTTCAGTTTACATAAAATTAAAGTTTAAAAATTTTTACATTTACTAAAATTCACATGAAACTGTTTAAAACAATGTGCATGATTAAAAAGAACTTGAAAAGTAGATTTTGCAATGGGACAAAGGAAACTCATACTTCTGTTAATCAGTTAAGTGTGCACAGCTATCGTTTGATTCAGATTATTTTAAAACACCAAATTTTGGCCAATTATTTTGCCTGGCTGTGACACATATAGAATTCTGTCATTAACTATGATACAAGACTGAAGTGAGTTTTCATTTCTTTTAGAACATGCCAACAATCATCCAGTTCAAGGCTTACCTTGTATCCAGAGGACTTGATGTGGACGCCTCTCTTGGTGAGTGTGGACTTCATACGGATGAAGAAGGAACGTTCTAGAATGTTATCCGGCGACAGAAGACTAGGGCTGTTCGACTCCACTGCAGAAACAAACAAACAAACATCCTATTACAACAAAAAACAATACACAACTCACAGAGACAGCAAGATATCAGACTGCTTTAGTGAGTATGGTGTGTAATATCTTCTCATTGAGTTTCTATCATCTCTTGGTAGACAGTTAATGGAACAGCACAACCTGATAAGGGGGAAGGCGCTAATCAAACTTTGACAATGTTTTAATTGTATTTACTAATAGCATGAAGCGGAGCCTCTGCAAACATGATAATTGCTTTAAACTCGACATGGCAAATGAATAAACCTCACCAGGCTGGTGTTAGATGTATTTGCCTCCATAGGAAATGGGACAATTAAGCAGAGCGTAATTTAACAAACTTGGTTTAGTAAAAACACCACTCACTTTTGCTTCAGAATTTTTTTTAATACATTACAATTACAATATAAAATTTAAATGACAGTGAAAAAAAAAATGTATTTCTTATACTATAATACATCTTTTACCAGATGGGAATGGAAAAAATAAAGATTTCAAGCCTTGATCTTAACACAAGGACACCTGACGAACAAAGAAGGTTCTGCTAATTTGCTGTAACACGCTTGATTAGAGCCAAATTAACTGCACATTTTAACTTGTCTTGACATTCAACATGTTACAAACAGCCACCAGAGGAGGTTTAGTGTAAGAATAGGACAGTATGAGAGCCAAAACTGCTAACAAAACGTTTGTCGATCTAAACGCTGACTGTGCAAATGTAACATATCTTTATTAGGGATCAAATTTTTGGTTGTGATGGAAATTATGCCATTATTATAGTCATAATTTGTGATAAAAATCATAATTATATTAACATTTTTAACACAATAAATACTGACATGCGTATATTTATTTTACTACAATCATAGTAGTGGCATTTTACTAATACAATTACATTTTCAAAGTTTAAGACTGAAAGTCTGGGTCTTGGACATGAGTAAAAGCTATATATAATACATTTAAAAAGTAAAAAAAAAAAAAAGGAACAAATTTTTTTTAGGAAAATTAAGTGAACAACAAGAAAAAAAAGCAACCCCTGGGACATAAAAGTATAGTTGAATAGAAACTGTCATATGGTTGTGGGTTTGGACTGCTGTATTCCCCCGTTTCTCTCTCTCTCTTTCTCTTTTTTCTCCTCCCTCTTTCTTTCTGACAATATGAATTAAATGTCATTTAAAATCTAACTAGTCCTTTATCACTCCGGGGAAAAGGCAGAGCCATGTTATATTTAGTCATTTCATTTCTTCTGATTAAATATGAATTACTATGAAATTTTTCTCATCATCTAACACACAAGAATATGCCAACAGCTTTTTAATACACTATATAAGCACAAACTTCAGCTCTAAGAGTTTAATTTGCCTCTCTAATCCAGTCACATCAACCTTATTTCTCTTATCAGAGATTCCCATTTTGAATTAAATGAGCTCATTAGTTTTAATCAAAGGCAGAGAGATCAAAACTCGCACTTAAATGCTTTAGATCAGAGCTGTCAGTCAAGCGTAGAGCTCTATTTGACTAAAACACAAGATCAGAGACTGTTGCAACTCGCCGTTTTCATTAAGAATGAGACGGGCTTAAAGATACGCTGTCCTTTTTTGACACGTGCGGCGCTCGGACCGAGAGAGGTCGTTTACCACGTGCCCTCCGCGACCTCGTTTTGCTGTTAATGACAGGAATATGAATTATACAGTAAAACCTTTGCGACACACACTCGCGCTCCTGCCTGAACAATACGCTGAATTTCAGGATTTCCCTCGTGCTACGGAACAATAACAAAGAATGGGAATCCTGCCTGCTTTGCTTTTCCTGGAGATGGATAAACTATCACTACAAGTACAATAACGATTAGTCGAGAACACAGTCAAACGTATATATGTTACTAGACTAGTAGATTACAACAGTATCCATACAAACTATACAACTCAACTCACATTCCCATGAAAAAGATGGCAGTTAAATATTTGTCACAAAACATATTACCATTAGAACCAATGAACCTCAACATTTCAAACTGATTTCTGTTTAAAAATAACCCAGTGAACACGCATTGCTTACATGTCTATGAATGAGCGCATCATTTGGAAAGCATTATGTTAAACATCTGATAAACTTTATAAGGGAGAAACAAAAGAAAAATATCTACAGAATGTTGTTTTAATATCCTGAATGTTACAACGTTGTTTTATATAAGAAAAAAAAGAGAATGATCAAAAAATTTAAATCTTCAGCATAAATGTACACATCAAATACTAATTTTAACAATACTATTTCTGAAAAACACTATTCTCAGTGGCATAGTATCTGATATGTCTTGCAGCGTAAATGATTTTTTCTCATCATCTAACACATAAAAATATGCACTATAAGCAAAACTTTCTCTCTCTCTAATTCAGTCACATCAACATTATTTCGCTTAACAGAGATTCCCATTTTGAATTAAAAGAAAATGTATATATAATGTTATTTTGATATCTACAGTATATATCAGAAAACACCCCAACAATGTAAATCCTCCATGTAAATGTACATATCAAATACAAATTTTGACAATACTGTTTAAAACATTATTTTCAATGCCATTGTGTCTGATACATTGTCCTCCAGTGTAAAGTGAATTTTTTTCATCATCTATCACAAAAAAATATACCAACAGTTTTTTAATACACTATATAAGTACAAACTTCAAAAAATGTCTATTTAATGCTGTTTTAATATCTAAATAAGAAAACTGCTTTAAAAATGTTAATCTTCCACATAAATGTTCACAACAAATACAAATTTCATTGTCTGATACATTGTCTAGCAGTGTAAAATGTTAATACATTTACTGTATGTCGCCTCTGTGCTGCATTAAAAGGTCTTTGTGAATGCAGCGTGTGCAAAGAAGATGTGCTGGATTTATTCGTGTCAAAAACCCTGTTGTTTTGCACATATATGAGCTTCCAGCACTTCCATGTTTGCAGTCCAGCAGGAAGCCCTGCAGCTGTAGGAATGTGGGCAGATCTGCTAAATCATCAATATCAACCAATCCATGAGATTAAGGGAATCTGCTGCGTGTGTCGAGAGAGTCTTATATATTCGACTTAAACCAACATCCCCACAATGCACCTGTGTTCCAGCAGCAGCACAACACTCCACACACTTCAACTTTTGTTTTTGTGTTGTGTATATGAACTCCCTTGCAATCCAAGTGAGACCATAACACAGAAAACCATTCAAATCTAGAAAATTCCTCAGACACCTTCCTCGTGGAAGAGAGTAGTTTTGTGGAGTTTAAAAATAAAACCATCTATGATGCTTTAAAACCGGCTCCTCGTATAAAACTGACAATATCAGACATGACTTTTTAAAAGGAAAATATTATTTATGTGGGAGGGAGGTGAATTTATGATCCGGAAGGCCTTGGGATTAATTTTCTTGATGAAACCTTCGAGAATGAATGTGTCTGGGAGTAAATGATGAGATTTTAAAAGTATTCCACTCCTCGCCGAGCGTGTTGACCATCAATTACCACCTGGCAGGTCTGGAGGTCCTCGTCCGCACCGCAGTCCTCATGTACAATGCACGCTCAGCGTATGACTTATAGGCCTGTAGGAAAGCTCGAGTACTCTGGCTAATATTCCTCAATTTGCATTTATATAAATATTAGTACCAATTCAGGACGTCAGGTGTTTACTGTACAAATAAATCAGGATTAAGCATGCGGGCTGCTGGTCTCTCAGGCTTTACCACCATTTCAAGAATGGTGTGAGGAACGAGGTCGTCCTGGTCCTAGTCTGACAGATAGGTTTTGCTCTGTATGTTGTATAATTCAAACAGCTTGCTCCATATTGAGATGTGGCTGGTGGTTTTTAATGCCACCCCTATGGCAACGAGTATAGAAGTCCTTTCTGAATTTCAGTCATTTTATCACCATTTAACAGTTTGATTAATTATGAAGCAAAGCATGAATTAAATATTGATATATTTGATTAACTGGGATTAAACTGATTAATTAATTAGCATATCATGTAATTCATTAAAGGGATAGTCCACACAAAAATGAAAATTCTGTCATCATTTCATCATATCGTAACCAAACTGTTGACGGTAGCCATTGACTTTCATAATATGTCTTTCCATACTATGGAAGTCAATGGCTACCGCCAACATTTAAAGGAATGGTTCAGCCAAAGATGAAAATGTTAAGATTATTTACTCACTCCCAGGCTGTCCGAGATCTATAGGTCTTTCTTTCTTCATCCATAGAGAAATTAAGGTTTAACAATACATTTACACAAAGATTTGACACAAAAACGTCCATTTAAAATTTGGACAGTGCTAATTCTTCACACTTGTCAAAAATAAGGCGGTTCTTTCTGCCTACGTCACGCATGACCTTTCTAATATGAATATTTCACACTAGACATTGTGCATCAAACTGAGCTGGACCAAGGCGGGCATTTGTAGTTAAAAAGGATATAATTTTTCATTTTTTTCTGAAAAGGACTTATTGTGGTGGTAAAGAAGACCCTTATTTGTTGGCTGGGGTTGTGTGGATTACTTTGAAGCTGCTTAAATATGGATGGTCATGGATTTTGGACGATCGAAAATGGCCTACTGTGAGCACCGTTCACTTGGACTAGATGGAGAAAAATCCTGGAATGTTTTCCTCCAGTACCTTCATTTCTCTTCGGCTGAAGAAAGAAAGATCTATACATCTTGGAGTGAGAGTGAGAAAAAAAATCAGGAAATGTTCATTTTTGGGTGAACTATTCCAAGTCCTAATGATGATCTAGCAGAAAAGTGATTTTTCAAATCGGTTCTGAAGTAAATAATTTCAGGTTTCTGTGATGCATTCCTTCGAGACAGCGCTCACAATGCATTGCTGTTACAGACACTTAAATCTGTGATCAATATTTAATCCCGCAATAATGAAAAAGGATTCCCCGGCAAGAAAAGCTCGGACGCGGGTCTAAGATGTCACCAAGCTGAACTGCGAAA